GTTACACCTTTTGCTGGGCATGGTGATCATACCTTTAATCCCTGTACTCAGAAATGTGCTATGAGTAGAACCAGATAATTATAGCTTTATTCCAGATGAGTCACACCAAAGGAAAGGATGACTGACGTCAAATAATTTGAACATAGGCTAAGGACAGAGGTGCTGTTGGTTAGAGTGTGACTGGCCTTCCGTGTGCTCTGTGTACCCCAGAGCTGAGCAGTAAGAGACTGCGCTCAGAGTGGCACCACACTCCGGCAGCATCAGTGGAGCCTAGCGGTCCCTCGTGCATCAGATGTGAGCGGGACGTGCCCTATGTGTGCTTTGATAGGATTCTTGCGAAAACTGCAAGTTTCTGCCTTTTCCTGCACTCTCCGAGGATGCTGGATTATGTACCACACATTGCCTCTGCAGTTTAATTGATAGGACAAGTTGTCTAGCTTCTGGCCCCAATATGTGTGGCTGTTTTAATCTTTCTGTGTTACGAGGCCATCTCTGTGGATGTCCTTTTCCATGCAGGGATGCTGCGGTGCTCTGTAGTCCTCTTGAAGTCCAGGGCCCCTTCATCTCCACAGAGCCTGCCTTGCTGTGCTTTCATCATTTCCCCACGTTTTATGGTTTTTCTGTGGTCTTTGCAGCCGCGTGTCATTTCCGTGGCCGTCAGTATCTCCAGGCTGTCTCTGATCTACTGGCCTGTTTTGCCTACGTTTGTCAGCAAGACTCAAATCATCTGCACTTAAAATACAGAATGTAAAGCAGCTGCTTTCCTCAAAGTCACTTGCAAGCCCTTAATGTTATTTTTTTCTGACTTATAAAGGCAATATTTAAGTAATACATGTCTTTGTAGACAGTATGAAAAGCCCAAGAAAGCATCAAGGGAACAGAAGCTCCCATTCCTTTACCACCCAGAAATAAAGTCACTACAAATAGTCTTTACCACGGGGGGGGGGGGCATTTTCGTATCTCTGTATTTCCCCCCTTTTGCAGGGAGTCTTTTTATTAACATTTTGAAAGACTCCCGTCTTTCCCTTGTTGAGAACACAAACACATAAACCTTGCAGTAATCCCAGGCTTCAGAGCAGACTGGAAGGACTGTTTGCTTCCTCCTCTTTCACTTGGTTGTCTGCTCCTTGGGAGGACGCTGAACCAACTGAGGCCACTGGCTAGAGCATGGTTAAACTCCGTGGACATCTTCCGCCAGCTCGCCGCTTCAGGCCAGCATCTCTTCTGCAACCTTGTCTCTTCCCTGGTTTTACTTGGTCTTGACTATGCTTCGTCTCCTTGGCCGTCTTGCCTCTACCTTCAGCCTGTGTCTCAGCTATGCGTCCGGAGAAATTCTTCTGTGATTTTGGCAACTGAAATCTCTAGCTCAAACATTTTTTTTTTTCGAATTCTGTTTACCTCACTCTGTGTTAGCTCCATGCATTAGCTGTTCCACAAACAAGCTCAGCTTCTCCAGACAGGCTCGGCTCTTTTTAAACTGTCCCCCTTCTGTCTTGTGACCAATGTCGTCTCTGATTCCATCTGCCCACTCCTCCCCAGCCTCTGCAGACGTCTGCTGTCACTCGTGAAGGGTGAGAGCGAGCAGAACAGATACGTACTTGGGTTATTGGGGAAGTTTTCAAGTATTTAAAGTTATTATCATTATTATTGCTTTTTTGAGACAGGGTTTCTCTGTGTACAGCCCTGGCTGTCCTGGAACTCACTTTGTAGACCAGGCTGGCCTCAAACTCCGGATCTGCCTGCCGTAGCCTTCTGAGTGCTGGGGTTGAAAGCGTGCACCACCACTGCTCAGCTTCAAGTGTTTAAATTCATATCAAAATTGTATGTCTATTTTATTGAGTTCGTTGACAGTTTCATACATGTGTACAGTGTTTTCTATTTATCCCCTCCCTCCTCCTCTCATCTCCCCCACCGCTGCCCTCTCCTCCCCACTGACCCCTCCCCCACATTCACAGTTTTTTTGTTTTGTTTTTATCATCTCTGACTTTTAACCAGAACCACCCATGTGCATCTCCTGATGACAGATTCTTGCCCCCCCCAGGGTGTCCCTCCACTACAGCAGTGCTGTATGGAAATGGCTCGCTCTGTCTCCCCCCTGCAATGAGGGCAGGGTTGGAGTTCGCTCATTCACTGCTGATTCCCCAGTGCCTGGTCCACTGCTCTCTATATGAAAGGTGCACAGATCCCACTCATCGGTTACTCCGGTGGGTTGGTTTCTAGGATGCACATCCAGTACTAGCAGGTTCAAGGAGGCTTCCGTGCACGGATGCTTCTTACCAGTTCCCCTTGGGTGTTCGGCTGACATTTTCCACTTCACAAAGTGTGACTCTCATCTGGGTTTAGCTAGCGTGGAGGTGAAAGGTCAAAAGTTAGCTTTTATCTTAGATTTTAAAATAAGAAGTGTGTCTGTGGGGCAGCTGGAGAGATGCTCAGCTGGTCAATGCTAACTGCAAGTGTGAGGGCGTGGTTCTGAGGCAAGCATGCGTGGAAAAACTGGCTGCAGCTGTGTTGGCCTGTGTTGGTCTAGGGAGGCTCAGACAGGAAGATTTCCGGGGCTTGCTAGCCAGCCAGCGTAGGCTTATTGGAAAACTCCAGGTTCAGGGGAGACCTGACTCTAAAAATGGGGTGGAAAGAGATTGAAGAAAACACCAACATTAACCTCTGGCCTCCACACACGATGGAATTGTGGTCACATATGTACATGCATTAGGGTGGAGAGATGTATATGTGTGTGTGTGCATACTCCTATGGGGTGCTGTAGACACTAAGCACCATGCTGTGATTTCTAAGAGTGTCAGCTTGTAGTTCTTATTAGAAAGGGTGAAATATGCTTTCCCTGTTTATTTATAGTCACAGAAGTCATTTAGGGAAAACACAGGAAGTGTTTGTTCTGCAAAGGCCCTTAGGTAACAGAGAGGAAATCCTGGACTGATCAAGGGTTCATTGGAACAGCTCTGACCGTTTATGCAGCATCGACCTGAGAAGTGATTCTATGGTGGTGAAGGAGGAATGAGAAATAGCACAAGGCGTCGCTTCCTAATTATGTGTTGTCTGGTTCCCACGCAAGCCATAATTAGGGGGAGAAGGAAAACCGTGCTTATTACAGGCCCAAGTTCAGCGTTAACAGCAGATCATTATTGGAGATCACTGTGCTGCCTGCCCCGCCTTAAACATTGTTGCATGCAAACAACCCTGACTTTACTAGAGCCCAGGCCCTTAGCGCCAGCTCGGCATCTGCCATGCAGCATTCACAGTTCTGGCAACAGGGTTTGAAATCTATATGAGATTTTTAGTTTTGCGCTTCCAACAAAGCAGACTTTGAACTTTAGACAGATTAAAAAACATTTTTTGAGGTTTATTTATTTTTATTTTATGTGTGTGGGTGTTTTGCCTATCTGTGCATTTGTGCACCATATGCATGCATTACCCGTGGAGGCCAGAAGAGGGCGGCAGATCCACTGGAGCTGGAGTTACAACCCCTTGTAGGCCTTAGAATAGACCAAGATAAGAGCCGGGACTGAGCCATCTCTCCAGCCTCAACACAGGTTTTTTTCTTATAAACTTTTCTTATAAGTTAGTGGCTTATTTATGTGGCCTATACAGGTCATCTAATGATGCAGTATGTGTCTCATGTATTTTGATGATAACTTTTGGGATAGAGGCACATGAGAAAGTGGCTTTAGCGGCAAAAATTTTAATAGATAACGTTTTAAAAGTTTTAAAATTACACACACACACACACATACACACACACACACACACTGCATGCATGCATGAGTGCTGGTGCCCATAGAGACCAGAAGAGAGCTTGGGATCCCCTGAAACTGAAATTATACTCAGTGTGAGTTCTGGGAATTGGATTTGAATCCTCTACAAGAGCAGCAAGCACTGTTAACCAGACTTAGCTCTTCAGCCCCTTAAGTAACTTTTGTGGATCAATATTTGCTAGTGAGGTAAGTCTTTGCTTATGTCACTGAAGCCATATCCCTCTAATAGGGATGGGGTGGCATGTGCTAATTAGGGAGATGGTTTAGGTGATTAAACCTTTTACTTATTTAAAAAGATTTAGTATGTATCTGGTGTTCTGCCTGCATGTATGCCTGCATGCCAGAAGAGGGCACCAGATCTCATTGTAGATGGTCCTGAGCCACCAGGTGATTGTTGGGAATTGAACTCAGGACCTCTGGAAAAGCAGCCAGTGCTTAACCTTTGAGCCACCTCTCCAGTCCATCTCTTTAAGTTTTTAATTATGTGTTTGTGTGTTTTTCTGTAAGAGAACATGCATATGGCTATCTTTGGAGGCCAGAGGCATTGGTTTCCTGTGGAGATGAAGTTGCAGGTTGTTGTGAGCTGCCTGTTGTTGATGATAGAAGCTGAACTTGTGTCCTGGAAGAGTACCAAGTGCCCTTAACTGCTGAGCCGTCTCTCCTGCCCTGTGATTAAAACTTTTCCATTCTTTTTTGCTATGTAAGATTTTAATGGGGGTAGGAGGCTTTCTTGTTTTTTAAACTAAGAAAAGTCTCTCTCTCTCTCTCTCTCTCTCTCTCTCTGTGTGTGTGTGTACATGAGTGTAGAGGGCAATGTCTGATGTCTTTATCACTTTGCCCTGTTTTGCGACAAGATCTCACACTAACCTGGAGCTCATGGATTCAGCTAGGTAGCTGGCCAGGGAGTTCCCAGGACCTCCTTGTCCCCACTTTCCTGGGCTGCCGACTTCTATGTCCATGCTGTGGGTGTAACTCACGTCTCTGTGCTTATAAGCATTCCACCCACCAAGTCATCTCATCGTTCACTGTTGTCTTTGTTTCTGTCCCTCAAGCATTCACCATGGAGGGAGGGCAGGGTAGGCCTCCTTAGGTATTTTGCTTGACTCCTAATTACTTATTACCAGTGCCAGGTGTGGTAGACCCCATTACCATAGCAGCATCTGTTTATGTTCTGTGTTTCAGAGACATTATCATATTACAAGATGAAATATCTTACCCCTTTCTCCCCTTTAGCACAGCGTTCTGAAATTTTTTGGTCATTGCAACGATCTTGATCGGGAAATGAGAAAGTGCTTGAAGAATGAGGTAAGAACTGTGCCCAGAGTTAAATAGCATAACATTTTTGAATGTTATGTTGTTTCCATTATTAAATTTTCTATAATTTTAGTCTCTCAGAAAATCAACTTTATTTGTATGACATTCCTTTAAAGCTAGAGGCCTGAATTCTGCTTTGGGGACAGCTTTAGAACATTACTCCCTGTCTTAGTTTGGTTTTTCTGTTTTGTTTTGTTTTTGTTTTTCAAGACAGGGTTTTTCTTTGTAGCTTTGGTGTCTGTCCTGGAACTAGTTCTTGTAGACCAGGCTGGCCTCGAACTCACAGAGCTCTGCCTGCCTCTGCCTCCCAAGTGCTGGGATTAAAGGTGTGCACCACCATCACCCGGTCAGATGTGATACCTTAATCAAGAGCAGAAATATACATATAACAAAACTGACCTTAAATTTGTAGCAATAGATCAAGATCCATACCAGTGCAAAGTATTCATCTCTATAGTATATCCCTCTTTAAATGTCAGTAAACATTTATAAACAATATTTGGAAATTTGGGCATAGTTCTCTTCAAACTGCTTTCTGCTTTTTGTTGGATGAAGTAATTTTTGAGGGTTTTTACAATGACTTTTTGGGGGGGTCTTGGTCCATCAAACCATATTAGTCTGGATGGAATCCACAGGTTCTCATCCTCTGTGAAAGCAAAAGAAGAACCTCTTTTCCAAAGCAACAAATTCCTAGACACAAATTTTGAAGTCAATATACTTTTAAAATATATATGTTGGTTTAGCTTAGTATTCCTTTTATCTTTTAATCTATGACTCTCTGTACTCTGTCTCTTTAAAGACTTTGCTTTATTTTTTTAAAAAGACATTTGCTTTTGTTTTTATAAATCTCAATACACTTTTTTTCTCTCTCTCTCCCAAGCCTACGTACATTTTTTTAAACGTACTGTGACCTATTAGAGGTCTTTTTCATCTGAATTTGTCTTTATTATGTATCTGTAACCCTTTTCTGACCAGGACCACTTCTTACAATACTAAGCAGCATGGCTAGGACTAAGGCTGCTTTGCCTTCGGCTCTGTCCTGTCCAACATGGCGGAGGCATATTCACCACCTCTGTGAGGCATGCGCACCGCCCCAGTTGCAGGTATACAGCAAGTCTCTGTTACAACATTAAGTAGTTTGTAACACACTACTCACAAATCCCATTTAAATGCTCTGTAGCAGGACCTCCTGAAAGATTCAGAGCTGTCTGTGCTGGCAAGCCAGGAAGCCGCTGTTTTAAATGAAACTGCATACTTTTTACTGCTAAGGCTGAGTCAGGAAACCTCTTAAAGAGCCATGTCTCTGCTTTCCACCAGCAAACAGAGCAAGAAGCTGTGTCAAACTCTGTTTTTTTTCTATCTAGAATTCCTTTCTAAGCTCTCTCAGGTTTTATGTGGATTTAGCTGGCACACATTGGCTCAATAAGTTAATTCCATTTCTGTTTTACACACCAGTTACCTTATAGCCAGGACTTTTAAAAATAGGCAATGATTAAATATGTGTGTGTATGATTATGTGTATGTGTGTGTATGTATATGTGTATGTATATTTTAAATATCCATGTTCCAGTTTGTGTGTTTGAATGGCCCCTCCACATTAGTTTCAGATCGAAAGGTTTAAATACAGTATCTGAAGCTATGTTGCATTATATCTACTTTCTACTCTGTGCAATTTTTATCACTGTAATGTGGTCATCTTATTACTTGAAGAACTCTGTATACAGGGTGCATTTTTTGTTAGTAGCTCAGTCTGATTTTTAAACTCATTTCTCGTGCCTCAGCTTCTTGAATATTGGGGTTAAAGGCATGCACTGCCATGCCCAGTGAGTGTATCCAGGGTGATTACAAATGTGTGTGCTAGAATTTAGAGATGATTCTTGAAAAATGTTTTCCTTCATGTGCTTGCAGGAAACAAGGCCTGTGCCGTTCTTCTGTCCAACACCTGCTCTTTGTTTTCCCACACGTGTATTCAGTTTTATAGCTTTTAATCTATGTTTGGGTTAACTGTCCCTGTGTAGTTCAGTAATTTTGCCATTGTTTCCATTACTAAAACCTCCTGTGAACTCTCTTCCCCGCTTGTCCTGAGCGCTACTGGTGACTCTCCGATTGGATGTCATAGAGACTTGTTGTCTGTGTTTGTCTTCATAGGATTTCCCGTTTCCTTCTGTCTTAGGGTTGCTACTGCTGTGATGAACGCCAGGACCAAAGCAGCAGAGAGGATGGGGCTTATTCCCCCGTCATCCGATTCTGTGTTACCCTTCTCGGTATGGGTCGCGCGCCTCCATACCTTACGCGAGTTTGGGCAAAGGCCTGGAGATTGAACAAAAGACATAAGAGACCATGGTCATTTGACAAGAGATCACCGAATGCCATTTTATTTAGCTTAATGCCAAGCTAATATACCTTGGCCACATCACAGTTCATCACTGAAGGAAGTCAGGGCAGGAACTGAAACAGGGCAGGAGCCTGTCTTAGGAGCTGATGCAGAGGCCATAGAGAGATGCTGTTTGCTAGCTTCCTCTCTGTGGCTTGCTCAGCCTGCTTTCTTATAGAACCCAGGATCACCAACCCAGAGATGGCACCGCCCACAACAGGCTGATTCCTCCCCTATCAATCACTATTTAAGAAATGCTCTACCGGCTTTCCTATAGCCCCATCTCATGGAGACATTTTCTCAGTCGAGGCTCCCTCCTCTCTGATGAACTAGCTTGTGTCAAGTTGACTTAAAACTATTCATCTCCCTGTGTTTAATGCTGCTTCATTCTGCAGCTTATGAACGTTGTTCTGTTCGATCTTTCTTCTCCACTCCCGAATCTGTTCTGCTCTTCTGTATGTAGTTCCTGTGCTCTTAAGAGTGACTCCACCTGATGGTGGTGATGCACGTCTTTAATCCCAGCAGAGACAGACAGATCTCTGTGATTTTGAGGCCAACCTGGTTTACAAAGCTAGTTCCAAGACAGCCAGGGCTGTTACACAGAGAAACCTTGTCTTCAGAAATAAACAGCAACAACAATAAAAAAGTGACTCTTCTGCTATCCCTCCATGTTTGGAACTTTTTAAAAAGTATGTGTATGTGTTTGGGTATTTGCACATGCGTGCAGGTGCCCTCACAGGTTAGAGATGTTGGATCCCTGGAGCTGTAGATTGAAGTGGTTGTGAGCTGCTTGACATGGGTGCTGGGAACTGCGATTGGGTCCTCAGTAAGAGCTGCACAGACTCCAAACCAGTGAGCCATCTTCAACCCCAGTGTGTTGGGGTATCTCTTGCCCCTTTCAAAGTGTCTGCCTGTTTCTGCCTCTTTGCTGTCTTTTTATTTATTTATTTTTTGCTGTTATTGCATTTGCACATTCTCTGTTCCTGTTCCTACATTGTATAGTTAACGTCCTCTTTGTTCTGTTTTTTTTTTGATTGATTTTTATTGAGCTCTACACTTTTCTCTGCTCCCCTCCCTCTCCCCTCCTCTTCTACCCCAATGCTCCCAATTTACTCAGTAGATCCTGTTTTTTTCTACTTCCCATGTAGATTAGATCTATGTATGTCTCTCTTAGTGTCCTCATTGTTGTCTAAGTTCTCTTTTGATGATGTCTTGGGAGTGACTTTGCATTTACCCTCTCCTCCTTTTTGTTCAAGGGCCATTTTGACTTTCTACATTGGGATAGACTTATTAACTACGTTAGTATAACTATTACTCCAGTGTGCTGCTTTTAGTGGCCTGCTGTGTCATCATCTTTAGACTCTTCTCTCCTAGTCGCTGCAGACAGTCCAGAATCAGATCGTTTTTCCTAGAACACATGTCTGTCTGTGGTCTTGAATAGTGTTTTATATTGTTTTCTCCCAAATAATCCCTTTGTTCTGTTTTGTTTTTGAGTCAGGGTTTCATAGAGTCCACGTTGCCTTGGCCTTCTGCACCTACAAGATTGCTTGAAGAGCCTATGTGTCTGTCCTCCATCTCTTCTTCCCTGGTTTGATTTGGTTTGGTTTGAATTGGTTTGGTTTGGTTTGGTTTTTCGAGACAGGGTTTCTCTGTGTAGCTTTGGAGACTGTCCAGGAACTCGCTCTGTAGGCCAGGCTGGCCTCAAACTTACAGAAAAGCTATTTGATGAAGGAAAGAGTTTGAAAAATTGTTATTCAAGGGCTGAGAACATGGCTTATTGGGTGAGGGTGTTTGTGGTCAAGTGGACCACCTAAGTTCCATCCCTGGGACATGCATGGTGGAAGGAGAGAATGAAGTCCTAAAAGCTGTCCTCTGGCCTCTACCCTTAAACTGTGACATCTGTATACTCACACACATAAACAGATGCAAAATAAATGTCTTTTTTTTTTTTTGAGACAGGGTCCCATTATGTAGCTCTGGCTGTTTTAGAATTCATTTTGTAGACCAGGCTGACCTCAAATTCACAGAGATTCATCTGCTTCTGCCTCCCAAGTGCTGGGATTAAAGGCACGCGCCATTATGTCTAGCAATAAATGTAATTTTTAAAAACTGTCATTCAAAAGAATTTATACAGTTCTTCAATCAAAATCTTTAGTTTGAAATTATATTGATTGAAACTTCTTAATGGTTGTTGTTGGCAAGTAAAGGAGTTTAAAAGTTGAAAATCTTCATATTTTTCTTGGGAGTAGGGGAGGAATTTAATCAAGTCCTTGGTCAGATGATACTAAGTCCTCTATTTTTGTGTCCTTTCTTCCCATGTCTCTGACCCTTAAAAAATGTTCCATTGTTGAGAAATGCTCATGTTTTGATTCATTTTCTTTCTTTCTCCTTCCCCAGGGAAGAATAATTAATTTATTTTTTAAAATCTGTCAATATCTATCAATGTTATATAAATACCTGTGTATTAAAGCATTCTTTTCTGAATGTAGGTTAATAAGCATTTGAGAAAATCAAAGTGCTCTTTCAAAGTGAGTAGCTGTATACTCTGTTCCCAAAACCTACAATGGCTGCTGGCTGATGTCCAGACAGGCACGGCAGTTGCGGACCTCCGAGGTGGAAAATGCGTGTAGAGTAGGCCAGTTGCAAAAGCTTAGAGTTTGTGGAGGACCCAGTGTGGTGACAGTTGGTGATGGAGAAATCCTGGAATGTTAACCTGCTGTAAATTACTCTGGGAATCACTGGGAGGCTGTGACCGCCAAGAGCTGCTTATTCTTCCTAATGTTTAGAGAAATGTATCAGAAGTAGACTCCCTCCCCGCTGTCTGCCAGTCATTGGTTGGAGAACCGTGTTGTTCAAGTCTAGTTCTGAATTTTTAATAAAGAGCGTTGCGGTTACAGTGCTGTTTTGTAGGCATCAGAAGAAAAAGGCCGCACCCTGTAAACACTTGGAGAAAACAGTAACATGTGGGCTAAAGAAGAGGGAAAGGGGTCATTATTGGCCGTCAGTCACTTGAAGATTAAAGAAGGCAGAGTAATGGCAGGTGGGGGGAGTTTACAGGAGAATACAGGTTCACCATGACAACTCTGGATCAGCAGAACCATCCAGCATCTGAACAGGCTGCTCCCAAGGTAGTGACCCCAGTACTTAGACAGAGGAGCTTTTGGGGCCAGGGGCAGAATGCATCTGTCCAAAGTGCCCCTTGACTTCTGGGAGGAGCTTGATGCTGTGGCTGTCCGTGCTGCTGTTGGCAAGTCTGTGTTGGCCCAGGGATCACTGCCTCTCATCTCTGTCAGTGAATGAACGACCAGAGTCTCGTCAGTAAAAATGTTCATTATTTTTGCGTAACTGAGGGTGTGACCTGTTGCCTCTTCTCTCCCCTTTCCAGTATTCAGAGAAGAGGACCAGGAGCAGGGAGCACGGTATTGCCATGCGAGCGAGGCTTTCCAACCCTCCAGAGGAAGCTGGAAAATAGGTTCACCGGATGCCTTGACTGCGAGACCTGAAGGTGGCTGGGAGCTGGAAAAAAAATCCCTTCTTTTGGTCTCTATGGCCCTTTGAATGAAAGGTGACCCATGAAGAACTGAACCGTGGAGAAACATGAGAATATGGATTCTTAGTACTCGTTGAGCAAAAGCCTTTAGTGCCGTGAGCTGTGCCTGCTTAACAGTTTCCTCTGCTGCTGCTCTGAGTCTCAGTCCATCCAGTGCCAACTCGCCTCCTACAATAAAGTGATCGGACAGTGTCATCCTCCCTTTTCCTTAACCTTCTCAGGGCAAGAGAGAAAGTGATGCCAGCCGGCTCCTCTATTGGAGAACGTGGTGGTTGGAGATTAGGCACTGAAGACAAAACCTAGCATGGGAATTCTGGGGAAATTCCAACAGAGTTAACTATATGAAGTTCCCAATTCTATCTTTTTAAAGAGACATTTTCTGAAAGACATATTTCTAGTTAGCTCACCAATTATGGATGAAAAATATTTGACAGAGTTTGGCCTATAGTGGGCGTGTACATGTTCCTTCCCGCTTTCTAAATGATGCAGCTTAAGACCTGCTTATCATGATTAATATCATGTCAGGCACTAGGTAAGCTAGAGCTGGAGTGGCCCCTGGCGGAAGGGTGTGGGATTTGAGTAGTGGAGGGTCCTAGAAACAGGACTGCCCAAACCTTTGACGTGATGATTGACGCGGATAACATAGCTTCCAGTTCAGATCCCATCAGACTCTACCATGGGTACCAGTTGACTCCTGGGCTTTAGCTCTAGAACCTCAGGGCTCTCTATGTGTTCACTCCTGGCTCCTACCACTGGTTTCTGAGACCTTCAGCAGTTTGCAACCCGGCAGCCTTAGCCACAGCTCCAACAGGGCTTCTCAAGGCTACTTAGGAGCCACAAGACAACCCAGGCTGTAGTTTCTGCTTGTGTTTGGTGTGTAATGCTTGTATGAGACCTTGGTGTTTAATAAATGATTTTCCTATTGCAGGAGAAGCTGGACATTCAGTTTGCAGGGTGGCCAGTCAGGATAAAACAGCTGATGAAAGGAGTGGAATGGAACCAGAATTGCTGAAGTCCCTCCTGTGAAAGCTGATATGGATATCTAGATATTTTGCTGGTAGAACCTTGTAGCAAACCAATAAACTGTTAATTATAGTCAATAATAATGACAAAAACCCCATGATTATTGAGGTGTTAAAGAAACCATGCCAAGGGCACTTGTGTCCAGTGTTCGTGGCGTCATTCCTGGAAAACTTTTTGGTGGAGGTGACCTTTGGCAAGCTAACTTGGGTGCTGTCACTGTACCTGCAGGGCATCGGTATGACAGAAGGTGGAGCTGATGATGGAAGAAGAGCCGCCTGGAAAGCTCTGAAGTCTGTAGTACTGGTTTTAGTGTGGTAGTGGGGAGAGCTGCAAGAATGACCTGTGTCAGTTTGTATTTTAATGGAATTTTTCTGATTATAGTTTGGGGAAGAAAATCAATCCTTTTGTTCAGGAAAGCCAGAAGAGCAAAGGAGAGTCCAGTTGCGCTCACCGAAGCAGCTAGCGCCGCTCCCAGTGTCTTTGCTGATTTCCAGGGAAATGGACCTCTGAGGCGTGCTGATGACAGAAATAACAGAACTCGCTGCTAGCACTGACTGTGGAACCCTGCTCAGTGCCCCCGGGATGGCTGGGTTGCTGTGTTTCGTCCTAAAAGGCTCCTTGGGCGAGTCATTTTGTTGAAGATTGCATAACCACCTGCTTCATGGGTTGAGGAAGGAAATGAGACCTGCATGGGTTTGTGGCCCAGGAACAGAGTTCAGGGTCCCAAAGGCCTCTAGTCCTAGCCTAACTCTTCGTGATCACATTAGATAAGCAGCCGTCTCCAGCTCCAGTTGAATCCTACAAATGGCCGTGGGCTGTCTCTTATTATTTTTTTTTTTTAATTTTTAATTTTTGTTTTCTAAGACAGTGTTTCTCTGTAGTTTTGGAGCCTGTCCTGGAACTAGCTCTTGGAGACCAGGCTGGTCTCGAACTCACAGAGAACTGCCTGCCTCTGCCTCCCTAGTGCTGGGATTAAAGGCGTGTGCCACCATCACTCAGCTTATTTTTCTATTTTTATTTATTTACTTATTTTTTGAGTTCTGTCTTTTCTCCTCTCCCCTTCCTTCCTCCCCCCTCTCCCTTTCTACCCTTTCCCATGATCCCTACGCTCAGGAGATCTTATCTGTTTCCCATGTAGATTAGATCCATGTATGTCTCTCTTAGGGTCCTCTTTGTTGTCTAGGTTCTCTGGGATTGTGAGTTGTTGGCTGGTTTTTCTTTGCCTTATTCTAAAAGCCACTTCCGAGTGAGTACATATGATATTTGTCTTTCTGTGTCTGAGTTACCTTACTCAATATGATGTTTTCTAGCTCCATCCATTTGCCTGCAAATTTTAAGATGTCATTATTATTTTTTCTGCTGTGTAGTACTCCATTGTGTAAATGTACCACATTTTCATCCATTCTTTGGTCGAGGGGCATCTAGATTGTTTCCAGGTTCTGGCTATGACAAACAATGCTGCTATGAACATAGCGGAGCACATGTTCTTGTGGTATGATGGGCCATCTCTTAAGTTCACTAATTATGCCACTTCAGCCTCTGGTTCAACTCTAATATTGGTGGGGTTTTTTTATGGTGCACATGCTTTTGTTTATGCATGTTCACTTATGTGTAGCTGTGGTATGCATGTAGACATTAGAGGTTGACAGTCCAAAGTGCCTCAAGCCTGGGTGCTGAGTTATTGTTAGACAGAAGTAGGAGGGCTGGGCTGTAGTGACACCCGCCTTTAATCCGAGCACTCTGGAGGCAGAGGCAGGCTGATCTACAAGAGCTAGTTCCAGGACATGCTCCAAAGCTACAGAGAAATCCTGTCTTGGACCTGCCCACCCCCCAATAAAAAAAAGAGGTAAGAGGCAGCTTGTGTGTGCCATGTGCCCAGGGTCCTGCACAGGATAGGCAAGCCCTTATAACTGAGTTCCATCTCCAGCTGAGGTAACATTCTTTTGCTTTAATGGATTTTGTACTCATGAGCAGTTTGGTCTGGTTTCTGTTTGTTTTGTCTTGTTTCCCATGGGAGCTAGGCCTTGGCTTACTGCGCTGACATTTCTCACCCCTGAAGGAACCACTTCACTAGTGGAATTTACCATACTGAGTATTGAGGTTCTGTGGAGGCTTGCAGTCCTGTGCAGGACGATTCTCCTGCTCTAGTCTTGCCCACCTCCAGTCCTGTCTGGGAACTCCTTTCTAGGGCAGCAAGCCATGGATAAGGTCTTAGTCTTTGGAGATCCTAGCCATTCTCAATCCCTGTGAAATACACACTCAAGGCTTTGGCAGCGTAAGCTGTGTCTGTCTTAGAGCCCGATGAGAAAACGCTGGAGCTGAGCAGCATGGACAAGGCAGAGTGAGACAAAAGGGCAGGTGGGCAGGTCCACGCTCCTGGGCCTTGGGAACCACAGCATGCAACACAGATATATTACTAAGTTGCTTTGCTCATGGTGTTCTGTCACACCAATGGCAAAGTCATTAACACATCTAATTACTCAAGTTTGTGTCAAGTCAAAAAACCAGCAAATACTCCAGTCTGACTCACTCTGCTGGCTCCTTGGCCCCAGGGATGGAAAGGCTGACTGTCCCCTCCACAATCATAACACCTCTGATTTACACCACATCTTTAATCTAATTTTCTTCAGCTTTCTGTAGATGGTGGTAGGATCTCCCTGCTACTCTTTCCAGAGCAAACAAGAGTTTTGACTTTTTTCTCTTGGTACAAAGGAGCAGAAACCTCTTCTTTCTCACATTTGTGGAGTTGTGTCTTTGTCATTGCTGGATGTGTAGGAGCCAGCCATGATAAGCTAAATAGAAACAGATCACCCAAAGGAAGTTCTTTACTTCCAACCATTATCACCTGCCAGTGTAGGACTGGGCCATTCATAAGTTTAATGGAGGCCCCAGTCTCAGTAGTTTACCCTGAAGCAATACCCGGTTGCAGGAAGGACCATAAACTGAGATTACCTGAGCACCACCCAAGAACAAACCATCCAAAGGAAATGCCTAATGTTCCAACCACTGTAGACAAGATCACCTGCCAGCACACTCATCAGGACACCCCCAGACAAATGTCAGCCAGTCAGGGGTCCTGAACCTTAGAAATCCCTCACTGTAATGATTCAGCCACACAACATGGCTGACACTTCGGGTTCCAGGGTCACACATGTGCGGACAAGCCCTCAGGCAGAAGTGCCCAATGGCCCCGGGGAATCTTAAAGGACCCCAAGTGACCCACGTGCAGCATGGTTGCATCATCTACATATGATGCAGCTTCGTGAGCCCTTGCACGCATGTGTGAGCTCTCTCATCTGCATATGATGTAACCATGCCATCCCGTGCATATGCGGTAGGCAGTCCTTAAAAGCTGGAGGCGCCATCTTCAGCTCTCTCTCTCTGCACACTTACTTCCCCAGGCCTGTACACGCCCACTCTAATAAACTAAGCGAGTTTGTTATGTGTTCTGTATTTCCTTCACACTTGTTCCAGGTAACTTCACTCACCCCCACCTTTAGTACTATAAAAACCCAACTCTAATTGAGCTCGGGGCTCTCCGATTATCCCAATACATTGGACAAACAGAGAGACCGAGTTTGCAAACTTGGATAAAATAAAGGCTCTGCTTTTACATACGGGACTTAGTCTTGTTGGTTTTGGGGGGACTTCGTGGGTCTGGGCATAACAGATGCTGCAGGTTCGTGAAGGCTAAGGAGGTGGTGTGAGTGGGGTCTCATGACTGCAAGAGCAACCTAAGTTAACTTCTGAGGCTCAGCTTCTGTGGGAACTGGGGAGGCATCTGGTCTGCAGGATGCCGAGTAGGGGAATAGATACCATTTCAACTCCTCGCGCCTTTGGGTCTTAAGGTAAAGTGTCTTGGAAGTTGACGGACTCAGGTCAAGGTTTTCCTGAGGAATCTAATTTTTTGAACTCGGATCCCTGATGCTCTGCTCACAACATATTTACTAATGCTTATTGCGAGATGCAGAATTTTATTTAAGAGTGAGGATAGAAAGCTGAACCGCTTCTGACCTTCTGTAAATGGAATTTAAAGTCGGGTTAATCTCCAGAGGCTTTAGTTGAATGCACAACGTTTTTCTGAAAAATCTTGGGCTGAACCAAATAAACTACCCCTGACTTGCCTGGTGGACAGAGAGATCATGTTGTACTTAGCAAAGATGAACAAA